TTTTTTATTTAAACTTCCTTCGATAAGGTTGTAAAATGTATAAAAATCGAAGATTTATACAATAAGTTTACATATATATATATATATATATATATGTTTTTGATGTGTTTACCCTTCTCATGTTTACTCTTGTTTACTGGTCCAGTAATAAACAAACTAAACCAAACCAAACCATATAACTCTCTCATAAAGAACGAATATTTCTTTGAAGTATTTGACTTTTTCCTTTAACTTAATTTCTAATAATTCTCCGTCAAGTTTTCATTGTAACAAAACTTTTTTTCTATGTTTGTGTATGTCCAGTGTGTGTGAGTTAGTGTGCGAGAGAGAGAGTTGCTACCTTTCTATCCTACTGTATCTCTTTCTGTGTTGGATGAGGCTGAACAAAAGCCTCCAGTTGTATTGGAGACCTCCTCCGGATCGGAAGGATCATGTGAGGCTAATGGTTCAATATCTCGGGTTGGTTTTATCCTCCCTCCTTCTTCACCTTCTCACCCTACCTTCCTGTGGCAAGGAAAATGTTAACCGTAAGTTTTAACAAAATGGTGGATTTTTGGCGGGTAATTGATTTGTATAAAACTGCCGCAAAGTATTATAGATTACGGGAGGATAATCTATGCCTGGGTGGTACAGGGTGCAAGGTGTATAGTATACCCAAGGGGGAGGGGAGGGATTTATTGATTTATGCAGAAATAATCAATGTTCAATAATTTTATCCGTAAACTTAACATCATTGGAAACGTTCTATAAACATTTAAAAGAATGTTACATTTTATTCCTCATTTATATTCCAGTCATGTTTTTCCAGTCGATTAGTTGAGTAAAAACGTCTGCCCCATAATCCTTAAAACTTATTCCTCGGATTTATGGATATTGGAAAAAGTTCAATTTAAAACTAGAAATTCCCCAGAAAAAATAAATTAGAAAATTTTGTTAAATTTTGCATCAACATTCTTGAATAATTTATATCCGGAAGATACTTTTTAGAAAATGATTTATGTAAAATACTTTCTAACATTTGTCAACTTAAATGTCTATTATTGACATTTTGCTTTACTCTAATATCTACTTTCCAGGGTTTTGAAATATAAAAATGCAAAATTTAAAAACCGAAAAGTGTGACTGAATTTTGACGAATATTTCCTTGCTTAATATTTATAAAAAAAATTTTTTGGCAATTTGATTAGAAGTTATATATAGATGAGGGGGAAGGCAAGTTACGTTAAATATCTTCCTTGCCGCAAATAATGTCACAAATTCAATAATTATACTTCCACACCGCACAAAATGCATTAGTTCTTTAATGGAATCAGGGTTTATAAATACACTCAAATAAAAAATATTATATAGAGGTCAAGGCCTGTTTAGTGTTCAGGAGTATCCAAAAGATTTCTAAGCTTACTGCCATTGGGATAGAGCAGTGGGGGGCTGCCTCCCCCCCCCCTCAATCCAGTCTTTAAATTGGTTAAAATTCCATCGATTTCCATTAATCATCATAAATGGCTTAAAATTTGATATTCCTTATTTTGAGGGAACAGTGAATATTCTTTTCCTAGAAATAACTTTAAAAACTTATCATTTATTAAAGATTTAAAACATATATATACACACATCCCAAAATATTTATTCATTTTTCTTTTATTTCTATTTCATTCATATATGTGAATGCAAATTGCAAATACATTTTTTTACAAATCTACAGCAACCCTCAAATTAACTGTTTGTAAAATGAATTAAATACTAATTTATTCCATTACATTATTACATAATAAAATTTCAACAGCTTTTCAAAAAAAATGTTATGACTACTTGCAAACCAAGAGTTTTTTAAGTTTCTTTGCAAATATTTCTTCTTTTAAAACAATTTACTTTTGAACAAACTTAGATTTATTCTTAAAAATACTTTTGAGCCTTTTAGCAATAAATTTATTCTGATTCTGATTTATTCTAGAGGATAAAATGTTTCTTGTAGATCCGTTTTTTTTCTATTCCATTTGTGTGCAGGGGTATATACCCCCCCCCACACTATACACCCCTGGCTAAAGTTTTTCTAATTTGCCATTTTTTCTCCCTCACCCTGTATCTCTGAATATTCTTAGAAGCGCCGACCCAGAGCCAGTAGGTGCTCCTCTGAAACTTAGATGTATACTGATTATTTCGACCTGTAAATCGTCATATTACAAAAGTTTTATGTCGTCTTTACAGTCTCATCCTGTGTGGATAACTCTGTACTTTAGTTGGAATATCTTTTCTATCTATTTACTCTATTAAGAGGGTAAAAAACTGTCTTTTGGATTTCTACAATACAGTCTTAGGAAAATATGAGAAAGTTTCCCTTTTCCTATTTTTTATGTGAAGAGCTAATTGAAGGATTAATTTAGAATTGTATTGACGATATCATAGTTCCACTACAACTAGACAGAAAATTAATTACTGGTACATTGTGACCTCGTAGCTCCTCTAGTTTTAACTTTACGCAGTATACAGTTACGTACTAGGAATTCAAAACAATTCTGTTTTAATCCATAGCTCTTCGATATGAGAAGTTATGATTAAAAAACATAAAGGATTTCAATCTTTAGTTTGACGTGATGATGATTGGTTTTGTAAATCTGTAAAGATTCTTTTCTATTATCTACCTGTTCCTTGTTGTAACCTAAAGAGGAGCGGAGGGGCCTTATTCTAGTGGGAAATCGATGAATATCTTATAGTGGGGGAAATAACTTTAGGTTTATGGGGGAAAATCTCCTTTTTCCGTTCAATCTATTTCCCATTCAATTTCTTAGATTGTCAGTAGAGAATACTTTATTGACAAGCGTAAACCATTTATAAACTATGTTTTATTAGGGTGCCATGTGCTTCTTTTTCTGTTATTATCAGTTTTACCTTTTCAAGCTGCCGTTTTTTTTGCAGATTTCTATGTTCAAATTGGGCCTCACTAGTTCAGTCGTTTTGATGGTTTTTTTTCATACAAACAATTTGTTCATCCCCAGCTCTTTTAACGTATTAATCTGTTGATAATCCAAAGTAATTACGGTAAAAAATAGAATAAAGTTGAAATAAATTGAAAAAAATCATTTATTTTTAGTTGCTGTGAGTCAGATCTGTGAAGCAAACAGGGATGGCAACTTTATGTCAAATATACCCAGGTATTCAATAATCCAAGAACTAGGGAATAACATGGACAGGGGCGTATTCAGGAATATTTCCATGTGGGTCGTAAAAAATACCATGAGATTAATAACTATACAGATAGAACACTAGATGTCGTCTTTTCAAGATTTAGAGGTTTTTCGTTCACAATAACCAGAAACCCAAAGAAGTTACGCGTTGAATGTCAAGACAGAGAGAGAGAGCGTAACTCCTTCGGGCTTCTGTCTCTGGGTTATTGTGAACGAAAAACCTCTAAATCTTGAAATGACGACATCTAGAGTGCTATCTGTATTTTTATTAATCTATGAGAAATACAATCCAAGGAAAAAACTTTAAATTCCAATGTGATAGTTTGTATTTCTTTTGGCTTTATAATATCGTAAGCCTATACTTGGCAGCTTAAGTTTAAACCATCAAATACGATATTGAAATATTGATTTTAGATATATATATACAGAGCGTCCCATATCATATTAGATTATCTCTAATCTTTAACGCCAAAATACGCACATAATACTCGAAAAATCTAGCATCTTCTACAAAAAAAATTTCTTTTAGCCTTATAAAATGTTTCAAAATGAATGATTCTTCCTAAATTTTCTGATTTGTCCCCCAAATCGTAATTTAGACAAATTGACGCGGTCTTATTTGATGTGGGACACCCTGTATATCTACATACATTTATAGTCAATTCTAAGAAGTTAGCTAATAAGTAAGAAGTTATTAAGTCGTATAAAAAAGTAATTCTAATGCAATACTTTACACCATATTATGGTAAACAGATTCTATTAATCAATCATCTAAAATATATTATGCAAATTCAAACTGAAAAAAATATTATATGCGAGCTTGGGAACCCAGATTTGTATGGAAATTTAACTTTAGCTTTAAAAGTTAAACCACTCAACTTATGTAGAATTTTTAAAGCAAAATAAGAACATTCCCGTGGTTCTGCCGAGTTCCCCAATCAAAATTGAAGAAAATCAGCCACAGGGTCTTCAAGATATAGTTGGATATACAAACAAACAAGATATCTACTAGCTTGGGAACCCAGCGCTGCCAAGGTTACTAAAAATTACTCCTGCCGTTTACCAACACTTGAACGATTTTACCGGGAAATTAAATTTTCGCTATTAAAGTCGACTCACTCAGCTTAGAATCTTAAAATCAAGCTAAGAACAATCGTCAATCCCGTGGGCCTCTTGAGTTCCCCAATGAAAATTTTAGGCAAATCGGTCCAGGGGTTCCTGAGTTAAGATCCGAAAAGCAAACAAATATACAGAGAAACAGATATTAAAACTTTTTTATTTAGATTTGTGAACCCAGCTTTGCTTGTAGTTTTCCCATTAAAAGTCAATCCAATCAATTTAGAGTTCTTTAATAAAAATTTCGGGCAAATCGGCCAAATATTAGATAAAGTTGTAATCTCTGTTTGTCTGTCTGTTTGTATGTCCGATCATAACTCATGAACCCCTCGACTGATTTGCTCAAATTTTGATTTGGGAACTCGGGAGAACCTCGGGAAGGTTCTTAGTTTGGTTTTGAGAATCTAAATTGAGTGGAACGACTTTAAAAGCAAAAATTGTGTTTTCCGGCAAAATCGACTGTAAACACCTTGGGCAACGCTGGGTTTCCAAGCTATTATAGGAGATACTCTTAAATAAACATTTTTCGAGTTCCTCCGGGAATATACATGATTTTTAATTTGTTAAAGAAGTAAGTTTAAATTAAGTTTCTTCAATGTAAGCTGCATCATCAATAATATGATTAATTCATTTCTAACAATGAAAGAAAAAAAAGAAAAAAAATCTTTTTTTACAGATTTTGTGTCGTTTTAGTTTGAAAGTATTCATACAGCTTTATTAGATTTTCTAGTCATGAAAAAAAGATGGCACTTTTTCGTACATCATCAAATTTAAGAAAAATGTATTTCGCAGATTTTCTCGTTTTTAATTGGCGAAATCATATCTTAGGCATCTTATTTCTTTTTATCAAAGTCTGTGATTTATTGATTTAAAAAACTATGATTTCATGTTACTTTAATAAGTTTTTATTTTAGGAAAATAGACGGTGTTGTCATAGAGAGCCAAGACGAAAGGAATTTTGTTAATTCAAAAACATTTTTGTCTGAATTTTTTTCTCAAATTGAAAAAGCTAAAAATAAATAGAATAATAAAAAACCAAAGGAGAGCAGAAAATTTAGGCAAAATAATGGGTGTTAACGGGACTTTCGACAAAAAATTGTAAATCTGATGAAAACGAATGTTGTAATGGAGGGTATCTTGAAATAAAGTGGTCGGTCCCTTTAATTAGAAAAATGATAGAAACTAAATAAAAGAGGAGGGGGGGTGGGGTTGTATGAAGTATAGAGCAGAAGTTTGAACAGAATTATATTTATCGAGACAATATTGGAAATAAAGCTCAGCAAGATTACTAGGGGATAGCTAGGCCAATAATTCATACAGGAGGCTCGGCTGGGAGAGGAGAGGGGGAGGGGGGGGGGAGGGACTATTGTTTTATTAAAGAGTGAAAATCATCGTTAGAAAATTCTATTATTTAAATAATATATGATAATATTTAAATTGACGAGAGTGTGTATAGGGATGTAGATTGTGTTATAACTTTCCAAACTGAATCCGTTCTCACAAAATTCCTTCTCAGGTATATAAAATTCGGGGCACAGGCATTTTCTTAAAGTCATTTTTCCAAATGATAATTTCCCAAGCGGCAACGTGCCAAATGTGCAATTTTCCATGCGGCAACTTCCAAAAGGGTTAGGTTAGGCCTTCTAAGGCTTCGCAGGCTGCAATGGGGGGCCGAGCGCTGCGGCTACGATATACTTGGGAAGTTGCCGCTTGGGAAAATACCCTTGGGAAGTTGCCGCTTGGGAAAAAACCTTTGGGAAAGTACCTAACATCTAAAATGCATATCCATAGACACTGATCAAAATAAACAACAATGTATAGTTTGTAAACATTGATCAAATATTCATGTAGTTGTGCCGGACCGGCGATACATACCGTACTAAATTAATATTTTGACCCAGGGCGACCCATGAAGCCTGGAGAAGGGGGTCTTATATTTAGTTCAAGATTTCCTGCCCTTTCTTAAATACCTTTTTTCTGTACATTTATAAATTTTTTTAATCAACGTAACGTTTACCTTGAAAGCTTGAATTTAACCTTTAAATAATGATGTTTTAAAAAGTTTTTGTCAGTTTGAATACCATCCTTGATTCATGATTAAAAGATAAATATTGGGGAAAATGTTCATTAAAGCCGAAAATGAATTTGTTAATAATTAATTTAAACCAACCTATAATTGAGAATGAAATGAGAATTTGCTAAAGTTCATCTAAATAAGCATTTATATTTTTGCGTCATATTTTTATATAATTTTTTAACCACAGGTTAGTCGATTATTAGTCAAATGATTTTAAAGTTTTTCAATATTTACCGCAAATCTTCTAACCCTTAAATTTACAATTTTAGCGATTTCAACTTCTCAATCCATAACAAGAAAGTAACTCTTATTTTTCCGTCACGTCACGTCAGAAAACAAAAGATACAATTAAGTTCTAAAACGATTCAAAAGTTTCTACCTTTGGTTTACACAATTAAAAGTTTAAACTTCCTTTTCCAAAAAATAGACAGATTTGTTATCTGGATAAAAATAATAAATAAACCTGGATAAGCTGAAGTTTGTCCTCATCCTTCACTGGCAATAAACAATTATCGTTTGTTATCTTAATTAATTGTTAATTATGGTTAATTACATCCACTAATTGGTAATTAAGGGGATATGGGTTATTTATAGCTTGAGAACACGCCTATATCCTAAAATGGTTTAGTCCAACATAACTCTTCATTTTCATTTGAGGATTCTCTGCGAAAGTACATTGCGCACATCTTCCTTATAACAAGAAATGGAAAAATATTCAAAATTAATCGTTTTTAAGTCAGAAAAAACGTTATTTTTCACATTTTTGATCAAATTAAGGTTTTAAACTTCAAAGATAGAGTTGTAAATCAGGCATTAGGGCATCTTGCAATTACACTTAGATATCTGTAAAACTTTTTGTTTACATGGTTTGCAGTTGGTGTGAAAAAATAATAGCTTAATATTTGCGTACCATCAAACCCTCTCAACTATCAATATTAAAATTATGTTTGATTGTTGACAGGTTTGATCGTCTGAAGATCGATTGCAACGATCACCTGTATATCTACGACGGGGCACACGACACAGGATCGCCAAGGGTAAGAATTTTCTTAACTTTTTTCATTTTTTGGAAGAATTTTTAAATTATAATTTTTTTCTTTTCAGGCGCACATCACGTGTGACTCTGTTGCGAATAAAGTTGGTTCGAACGGATTTATAATCACGAGAACCAACTTTGTAACCTTAAAGTACAAAACGGACAGCTGGGGAACAGAAAATGTCGGCTTTACTCTCGTCATCACGGCTTTCAAGGTAAATATTCTTTTTTTCAAAAATGTCAAATTTTAAAAAAGAAATTTTTATAATTTTGTATTCCCAGCCTGTTCCGTTTTGTTGTTGATGCAATTTCAGCGCCAAAGTCCAATTTTTTTTAAGTTTTGTGTTTTGTTTTATCAAATAAAAATATAACCGAATTTTCTACAAACTCTAACTCCTAATTTAAAATCGATCCTTCTATCTTTGCAACATATATGTTGGTAAAAACATTTGATATTTAGAATTAAAAGGATTTGATCGAACCAAATTTGTAGTTTGAAATATCACAAATTTACGACATCGGGCTGGTTGCAAAGGGATTTAAACATCTAAGTTTGTGGCAAAAACTAAGTTCCTTTTACAATGCAGATTTATTCACACTAGGCTTTTTGGGCGCTTCGCGCCCATCTTTTATTTCAACTTTTGATTGTGGCTTTATCTCTGAGCATCTTCTCTTTGTAAAGTATAAAAAAAGTTTGCGGATTTCATAATATTTTTTCGCGCATTTTCAAAATTTTACAAAAATAAAAAACTTTTAAACAAAATCTTTTAAAATTTTTATCACTCATAAACCTTCTCTGGGGTCACATGAGGTCTCACACAAAATTTGGGCCCGATCGGTTCAGCCGTTTTGACGTTTATTGGACACAAACAGACAAGCTAAATTTATATATAGATGAAGTTTTCCTTTCAATTTTGTGGATACTTGTTCTTTCTACAGCTTTGAAACCTCTTATGATAAAAAATGAATCTTTGAAATATTTAAAATAGTAAAATAAAGGTATTTTGTTCCTTAAACATTAGAATCAAATTGAGCACTGCAGAAATAAATTTTTCATGTAGTTTTATATATTTATCGTGCATACTTCTCAAGCTAAGAGTTTACAGGAAATAAATGAAAAATTTGAAAAGAATAGATGTTAAGAAAGTTGGATGGATGAAGGAAATTTTACTTTTCTATATAAAGAACAGAAGAATAGATTGATCAATATAAAAGGAACTCTAAAATCTGAAATGTAAACACTTATTTTCAATTCGTTTAGAATTAATACTTGAGTATCTAAAATGTTCACATAAAAGTTAATTGTTTCATGACAAAAAAACATTTGCAAGCGAAATAATTGGACATTAATTCATTTTTAAATGGAAAATTTAAAACTCATAATTTTTTATTTGTAAAATTATTTGGGTGGTGTCTATCTGTCTAGGAGCACACGTCAGGAGACTTTTCAGCAAAGGAATTATTTTTTTTAGAGCCCGGCGGCGTTGCTCGTGGAATTTTAAAAATACGTTGAAAAATATCAGAATTTTCATGAAAATTCGAATTATTTTATTCTATTTTACCACAAGTCTATTTTTTCCATGCAGCTATCATTTATTTGAACGAAAAGCTTTATCTATATATATCTATATATAAATTTGGCATGTCTGGGTGGGTGTTAGAGTGTCTGTTTGTTTGTTTGTATCCAATAAAGGTCAAAACGGCTGAACCGGTCGGGCCAAAAAATTTTGTGGGACCTCACGTGACCCCAGCGAAGGTTTGTGAATGTTTTTTTTTAATTTGTCTCTTACAAAATTCGATTTTTGAACATTTTAAAATCCAGACATTTTTTTTAAAATCAACGATTTTTTTTACAAAGTGAAAATGTTCAACTGATTAATATATAAGTAACAGGGATTATTTAGACCATTTCCTTATTTTTATTTTTTATCGCGATTAGTTTCGCCTTGGGAATATATTTGTAAAAATATACTTTCATATTTCCAAGTAAAAAAGTTTGGGAAAAAGAGAATAAAAACTTCTTTATCAAAGAATTAATTTTTTCTTGTGAGAGGGATTTATACAATGTCTTTCTCTTTATTATTATTCTTCATATTTTCAATCTATTGCGCATATTTTTAATCTGTTCAGCATATTTTCATTCAGCATATTTATTTATTATTGATGAATTATATATATTATATGTTCAGTATATGTTTAATTGTGGTTCAACATATGCTTAATCAGTTCATTCAAAATTAAATTATTTGAATGTAAAGCTAGGGCCCTAAATATGGCATAATTTAAATGTAAAGCTAGGGCCCTAAATATGAAATTATTTAAATGTAAAGCTAGGGCCCTAAGCATTAAATTACTTAAATGTAAAGCTAGGGCCCTAAATATGGAATAATTTAAATGTACAGCTATCATTAAAAAGGGACTCTAGAATTAGATATTATTTCAAGTTTCAAGGAACTCGCCAGAATTAAAAACTGTCCGAGGTAGAAAAAACGACGATATATTTTATATTATTGATTAGATAAAGGTTCAAAGAACACCGGCACCAGGGTTGTGAACCGGATATTCCCATTTTTAAAATAAAACCCCAGTCCCTTTAAATATTGAATTTTTTAGAATGCTCGTGAGTCAGGTTGCAGGGAAGGATATCAATGTGATTCTTTCTTCTGTATCAGCCAGGACCTAGTCTGTGATGGAGTACATCACTGTGGACATGGACAGGATGAAGGAGTTAGTAATAACTGCGCAGGTAAATATGTTCTTCTAAATTACACAGCCTACACGTCCAGTTGAAATTCGCCATTTTGTAAAAGGAATTGAGAATTGAGTCTTTACCACATAATTCATAATTATAAATATCTAAGGTCTACGACATTGGGTTGCAAAGATATAGGGATTAGAAAACCATAGTTTGTGGCAAAGACTTAATTTCTTTTCTACTTCTTCTCCATTTCTAATAAGCATTATCAGTGTGGAGGTTGGGGGGAGGGATGTAGGGAGTTAAAAAGAAATTATTTTTTTCATTCTGACATCCTTCTCCTCTCTACTTTTAATCTAAAAATAACATCTTCTTCCCGCCCCCATCCTTCCTCTCCCATTTTTCACTTCTCTCTCCCTCCTCACACTTCCTTTTCACTTCCCCCATCTCTCCTCACACTCCCTTTTCACTTCCCCCTCTCCCCCCTTACCCCCCCCCCCCACCCCCCTCTTCTCATTCTTTACTTATTTCCTTTTCTTACCTGTAATCCTAAATCCTGACAGAGCTTCTGGATTTGGATTCAATGCAGAACTGGACTTAATGTTTCCTTTCAATTCACTCTTACACATCTGTTGAGAATCAAGGATTTATTCACACAGGGTTTTGACCACGTTAAACTAACTATATATACAATAGGTGGCAACAGAGAAATAAAACAATTATATATGGCGTCACAAGTGTCAAATATAACAAGGAAAACAACATTTTTTCACATTAGTTGACAAGTTTTCCAAGATTGAATAAAAAAGAAAATAAAGAACACACAATTGCAATTATTTCACTGTAAGATAAGCACTTTATTATCACTATTATTAATGATTTTGTCGGACACACAAATCTGTTGACAATTGTGACGTAAGAATACAACTGTACTGCGAGCGTACAAATTCTACGTTGCCATCTATTGTGCTTGATAATCTATTTTTAACGAAGTACATCCTGTTTGTCTGTCTGATGCTTGAAATTTGAAATTACTTTAGTTACAAAGTATATACTGGATATTACTATAGTTGCGAACAAAAATTAGAAAATAATTATTTACAATAGAAATATTAGAGTTGAGTCACAAACTAAGATTTCCTAATAATCCATATATCTTTCCAATCCAATGTGGTAAACCTAAGACTTGTCAAACTATGAATTCTGGTACATCAAATAATCAAAGTTGAAATATCAAAGGTTTAAGCCATCAGATTGAAAATTTACAAGAAATAGAAAATTTGAGTTTGTTGCAAAGACACAATTCCTTTATTTCTAACTTTTATTTATAATTATAATAGCAAATATTCCCAAATCTTGTTCAATTTCATTTATCTACAATTGTGTCAGTAAAGCCTTATTAGGAATACAGGCTTTTCATTATCATTTTATTTCAGTTAAAATCCTAGCAGATTTTCAAACACAACTCATTTTTCTAAAAGTTTATATCATTAAATGAAATCCAACAAGTTTGTTTTTCTAGCTCAACACAGTAATCTCATCTGAAGGATTAAAATTTGGTGCAGTTGCAGTACCGTCCAGCTTTCAATAGTATTTTGTTGAACTGTACAACTTGTGTTTGTACAAAGATTGGTCCGGTAGTTTAAATAATAAACAACACTTTACAGTTACAAGGTTGCAAAGTGTGAACATGAATTCCGTATAAAGTAAGCGATATTCTTTTTTTGATGTGTTTTGTTCATTTGGTTCAAGTCGAGATGTATTTAATATTCAATGAATTGGTATTAAATGTAAATGCCTTTAAGTTTGAAATCTTGTAGAAGAGAAAAGTTAAAATTAGTTCTAAAGTGGATAGTTCGAGATTTCAGGGGCTTAAAGATATGAGCAGTGACCATATGATAGGATTTAAACTTGAGTCTCTAGATCTATAAGTTACAGAGTTCCTAGATCCATGGATTACTAGAGATTGTACAACTAAACCAATTCAAATGATCAAACTAAACAGATTGGAGTCAAGTATTGTATGAAACATTTAGACTTCAAAATTGTCAGAAAAATCTCAGTTTGACCTAAAACTATTTGTATATCAGAAAAAAGAAGAAAAATATTTTTTAAGTATAAAAAAATTTTCTTTTATTTTGTTGCATAAAACTCGTTTGCACAAAACTCGTTTGCATAAAACGGGTTGTTTCAACCACATACGGGGTACACTAGACGGGCCTGTACGGTAAAGACTAGACCGACACCCTTGTGCTGTTTCGGATCATGCTGCTTTTAAACTTTTGACGTGGTATTGTGTACATCTGGAAACAGGCCAAGGTCATGGTATAAAACCTGCAGGGAATATTGGTTGCTTTCAACATTTTATAAATTAGAAATCTTTATAATAAAACTAAAAGTAAAAAATCTTATTTTCTTTGTCTAGGAAAATATGCGACGGTCAAAAGATTTCAAGTAAAAATTGGGTAGAGGGTAAACCCGAAATGATGCTAGAATTGAATGTAAAAATTTTTTTCTCTCATTGCAATAAACGTCAAATCGGCTGAACCGATCGGGTCCAAATTTTGTATGGGACCTTACGTGACCCCGGGGAAGGCTTATGAATTATCAAAATTTGAAAAATTAGTTTTAAAAGTTTTTTATTTTTGTACAATTTTGAAAATGCGCGAAAAAATATCATGAAAAACTTTTTTTGTTTTTGTTCCAAATTAAACATGCTCACAGATAAAGCCACAATTAAAAGTTGAAATAGAAGATGGTTACGAAGCGCCCTAAAAGCATAGTATAAAAATAAAACTTCAATTTGATATGTTTTCATGTCATTAGTTAAGAATTATATTGAAATTCATTTAATGAATTATGTTTTAACTACATCACACGAAATTGGGGAACTCATTTTCTCAAATCTCAAAATAAAATAAAAAAAAAATTACTTTTCGTTTTTCCAGTTTATTCTGAGCAAGTAATCATATTCCCATATGCAAGCAAAGGCAATGTTTTTAAGATGAAAGAGAAAAAACTAACGAAATCCGGAAAATATAAAGAATATTGCATAATATATAATATATACATTATCTCTCAAAATATAATATTTAATATATATGTTTATATTTTATCTCTCAAAATATAATACATGATATATATGTCTGTAAATTATCTTTCAAAATATTATATACAATGTATATGTCAATATATTATCTCTCAAAAAAAATAATATACAGCGTATGTGTTTATATATTATCTCTCAAAATATAATATATATAATATATATGTCTATATATTATCTTTCAAAATATTATAAACAATGTATATGTCAATATATTATCTCTCAAAATATAATATACAATGTATATTTCAATACATTATCTCTCAAAATATAATATAATATCATGAAGAATGCCTAGCATGAAACATAATGTCGATACAATAAAACTTCAAATCATGTTTTGAATAATTATTTTATAATATGTATGTCTATTTATTATCTCTCTCAAAATATAATATATAAAATATGTATGGGTATTTATTATCTCTCAAAATATGATATATAATATATATGTTTATACATTATCTCTCAAAAGAGAATCTGCATTGCAGTATTCCAAATACACTGATACAGGGGGATCCGAATAAAGTGATTTCTTGTATGAAATCATACTTTTAACTTAAATTTGTAATTTGGAAAAAATTAAGAATTTTGTTAAAATACTCAAAAAAATAATGCAGAAATTTTTCCTAATTCATTTGGACATTGTTAACCTTTTTTGGGGATCACCCTGTATTTCTACAAATTAGATGTTTGTGCTCAAACTGTTTTCGAAGAGAATCCCCTTAATTTGGCGGTTATTGATTAGGAATACTTCCTAACCATAGAACAACAAATTAAACGAATTGTTTCCAAATTGGAATTCGGAACAGTTTGGTTGAGAATGAATTTTTTGTTAAAAATAAAATTATCTTTTGTATAAAACAGAGCGCCGATGTAAACGTCAAGGAATTGAGTCCTGCCACCAACTAAAATTTTCTAGCCCTTTGATATTTCAAACTTAGATTATTTGATCATAACCGAATTCATAGTTGAAATATCTAAGGTCATAAAATATTGGGTTGCAAAATATAGGGATTAGAAAATCAAAGTTTGTGACAAAGACTAAATTTGCTAGTATGTTAATATAAGTCTAAGCAACCAAACCGATAGGGTCAAACATTTTGTGGTAACTCATTTGAGTTTCATGGCCGGTCAAAATTGGAAAAAAAGTCCTTCATTTTAAAAACAAGAAAACAGTGAAATATTTTGCTGGTCTTATTTCGATATGTGCAGAAAATGAGCAACAAAGATAGGCGCCAAGCTTGATATAAATTTTGTAATTATGAAAATGTCGAATCTAAACTGTGATTTACATTCAACCATGTTTTAAGTTTTCCAACTTAGGAAGTTCTGCCTTTGAAGTTTTGTTATAATTTAAAAATACGAGATTATAAAAATGCTGCAGTTGAGAGAAGTTTTAGATTAGTTTGTATTTAGTCTAATTATTTAAATGTTTAATATCTTTCAAGGAATTACAATATTTGATTGGGATTAGGGTTTATTAAAACTTATCAAATAATGCAGCTAATCTAAGTACGTAAATAGATTTTCATTGAAAATCAAACATTTTTAAACAGTTAAAAGGACTGTTAAACAGTAGCCTTAAAGGATTTTTCTGATCAATTAGATATATCAATACTTATTGAGAATACTGATTATTTTTAGTGTGGTTTCTCTACCAGAAGTTACCTCAGTGATCAGTTATAGAAATAAAACACACAATTTTAAAAACTAGAACAATTCCGAACTTTTTACAAGTACAAAACAGTTTTACTAAGCTACTAAATACTGTGATAATCTCGGTTAAGTTATATCGAAAAAAAATCTTATTTGTTTTAGACATTTTTAAGATTATGATGTATTGAAAATTAGAGTTTACAGGCAGAAACGGGACAAAGAATAAAAACTCTATTGTCAAGAGCTCCCTATTTTTACATGTTACGCATCTCTGCCACTATAGTAA